TAATACAGTCGCCAGAGGGAAGCGGGGTGAAATCCCCGTGTCTGCCCGTCCATAATACAGTCGCCAGAGGGAAGCGGGGTGAAATCCCCGTGTCTCTGGAAAGCCAGAGCAAGTTCGTGTTTGTACACATAGCTGACATAGCTGTTTTCCTTATTTGTCTTACGTAAAAGGGCTGGAAGTTCAACACAGAAACAAGCTAGAAGTTCCTACCACTTGTCCTCCCTGCAGCCTCCTTTCCACTCTTGCTCACCTTCCTTCCCTTGCCAAGCAGCGGCATCAGCTGGGGTTTGGAGTTGAATGGTGCCTGCCTCCCGTGCTCCTCATCACTCCCCTGCCCAGGCAGCCTGGCCTGGGCAGCAGGAGATTAGGAAGCGCTGCTTTTAAATAGCATCATTCCAGAGAACTCTAGAAGATCTCGTGTAGTGCTGGGGTAGAGATGGGTATGATCATTATTAGAGTAAAAATAGCTTATGTTTTGAACTACTGCTTTGTGACAGACCCTTCTTTAGCTTGGGTTTGTATGCATTTTCTATTTTAATGTTATGAATACTTATTTCTATTAATCTTATTTTACAGATGAGTAAATTGAGATCCAAAGAGGTTAGTGAAGTGTCTGTGTTAGCCATTCAGTTAGCCGGCGTCCAGTCTAGGCAGGCCAGAGCTCTGACCTCAACAGCCTGGCATCCAGCAGTGAAGAATGCATTAACCTGACAGCTGGTTAATGCCAGGAGGTACAACGGAGGGAGAGCCACAGTGCTTTATACGTACATCCTGGAGCCTACCCTGATTCATTCCTCAGTCATTGGTTCATTAATCCATTTGCTCATTCATTCTTTCATTCTTTAGACATGTATTTATTGAATTTGGCGATGAAGAGAGTATTAGAAGGATTCTGGTTGATGAGTGGGTTTGCCATAGATGATGGACTCTAGCTATGGAAGATGTTAGAGCCACAGATGTATGTGGATCGAAAGAAAAGAAAGGGATTGAGACTCTGGAAATTGCCATTAGGTGGAGAAGGACTTTTGGTCTGAATGATAAAGAAAATGAGAGAATTAGACCGATGGGCAATTGAAGTCAGAAAGTGATTTTTAGTATATTGGAATCTACACCCACGTATAGCAGTCTCAGAGATAATAAGATTCAGAGTGTGGCTGTGGC